AAAATACAAGCATAATAGTGGTAAAAAGTCTTCAAAAACGGTGGAGATATCGTTGAAGACATGCCTCGTTCTGAACGACTTTCGACCTATTCAACTGATGAAAATATTAAAAATGTGAGGAAAATGGGGCTTGAAAATCGTCAGACAAGAGTTGGAGAGATGGCAAGAGAGCTCGACATCTCCGTTCGAATGATTTTGGTGGATATTATGGGTATGTAACGTGTACTTGCTCGATTTATCCCGATAAAGCTGAATTTTTGTAAAAAAGGATACTGTAAACAGGTCTCTTTTGACATGCTGGATCTTGTGATTTCCGATTCCACATTCATGGAGAGCATTATAACTGCCGATGAGACATGGGTTTATGCGTTTGACATATAAATAAGCCAAAAATCCTCGGAATGATGGAAAAAAACGAGCCAAAACCAAAAAAGACCACTCCAAAGCTGCTCAAAAACAAAAGTGATACTCTTTGTTTTTTCGATATTCGTGGTTCGGTGCATTCGGAAAAATGCTATGAATACCATCGATCAATCGCCGTATTCACCAAATTTTGCATCCTGCGATTTTTTGTTCCCCTAACTGAAATTGCCGCTCCGCAGAACCCATTATCAGTCGATCGGAGCGATAAAAGAAAAATCCGCTGAAGGACATCCCAAAAAGTGTCTATGGAAATTGTTTCGAGGACTGGAAAAATCGTTGGCAAAGCGTTTTATATTTGGTAGGAATTACTTAGAAGGCGAAAAAATAAACAGTGATGAATAATTAGATATTTTCCGTTTTATTTACAATTTCCGTATATACATATGTATATACTTTCTAGTATCTACGATCTTCTGGAAGTTACAAACTTCGCAGTTATAAAAGTCATGAAGTTTCTAAGAAAAAACCTACACATGCAAAATCGAGTTAACTTCACTTACAACATTCGCCTTAAAAAATCTCTAAACCTTATGATAGAGATAAGGAAATTTATCAATTGTAAGAGATTTTATCAGTTTACAGTTGAAAAACAAATCAATTTTTTTCTTTTTCCTCAATTACACTTTATGGTCATAATTTGCTAGAATAGTGGGAAAAGCTTTCCTTTCTAATCCGTTGTAGTGGTGAGCGTTCTGCTCAGCCAGTTTCAATACTTAAAACTTTAAACGTGTTTTTTCCAAACTTCTTTTTCACTTTGGTAATCGAGAATGTTGATAAACTACCAATGAATTTTTTGAAGATAAACTCAAAAGTTTTTACTAGGCAGTATTATGCAATGTAAGAATCGTCGAGACCCTTTTGAAGTAAAAAAATTGGATTACTTTTCCATTACCCCCAGATTGTCTAAGTTAGAACTTTTTTATAGGCTTTTGAACACCCCAATCTCTTACATTTTACTTTTAAGCAAAAGCTTGATTAGGAACAACGATCCGATTTGTTAATCGTCAATTTAAATGTGTCGGTAATATCAACATCGATATAAGGTAAGTCAAAAGGGGTACAATATCATAGACTGTCTATAGACAGCTTTGGGAAGAGATATGATCACTACTAAAAATTGAAAAAGATCGATTGTCTTCAATCATGTTGCATTCTTCAAAATTGAAGAATTCAGTTGGCCAATATCTTCGGCAACATTTTGAACTGCTATCTCATTGATCCAAATAAAACGGTTAGAAATAAATAAATAAACAAATAAGAAAAAGCTCGAAATAAAAATGTGCACACCTAAAGCTCTTGCGCTACTGTTAAATAACATAATTTTAATGCTAAAGCTTAAATATGCAAATTCGGCTCAATGTTTGTCGAAAAACAAAAGACTTCAAGTTCGTATGCTTTCGCTTCCATGGCTTTGTTGTTGGCCAAGTAATGCCAAGTTCAATGTCGTAGCTAACATCGTTAAGCTGACTACAGTTATGTAATATATGTATATGTTAAGTTAACGAGTGCTTATACATATGTTTATCTATTTGATTTTAGTTTGGTTTTTGAGAGAGTATGTAAAGGTGAAGCAATAAAATCTAGCTTAGATGGAAAATTTTAATTTGTTTGTTTTATTTAATTAACAAGTTTGCTCGTTATGGCTGTAAATGGGTAGTTCGCACTAATTGGTCGTTCAAGAAGGGAAAAATAATAATAATCAAAGACTTAAGACTTTATAAACAGCTAATTATACTTAAGGTTGCTATGTATGAATTTGCCATCAAATTATTACTCAAATGTTGTAAGTATTGCACTGTCGATATGAGATGTTAATTTAGAGACTCACGGTTTAATTTGTTTAAATAATCTATCAGACCCAACAAGTCATGGTGACGAAGTGCATTTTATAAAAACCAAGCTGCTCCGATGAGGAAAAGGCAATGAAAACTTAGCCGCACTGGTCCTCCCTACCAAGTTAGTTGAGTCCGAAAAAACATGATCTCCAAAATATGTACATTTTATATTATATTTTGTGACGGAGTATAAAGAGAAAAAAATATTAATTTACTTGCTTCAGTCACAAGCTGCGTGCCATTTATCTCGTATATGAAAATTACGAAGATTGAACTTGTGCAGGTCCATAGATTCTTAGTTAAGATTTTCGTTTTGCAATTGTTTCTAGAAAATTTCATTAAGCCTAACAAAATTGGATTTTTAAAAGTTGGGGTACGGTGCAGTTTCTGCGGTTGTCCACGAATATGAATTCAGTGGTTTTGCAGCCAAAATAGACGTATTCGTTACGCCTGAGCGCTGTATCGCAACAGCTGTTTAATTATTGTGTTCATCATACTCTGTATTCGGAGGAGTTTGAAAGAAATTATTCATAATTATTCATTCTTATTTGAGGCTTGGAACTCGTGAGGGATTGCAAGATGGACATTTTATTCATTGCATTTATTAACCAAACTAAGGTTGAGTTAAGATGGCGATGTTTATTCCACACGTAGCAGGAATAAGCTTACATCTATTGCTTAGAATTTTAAGTCATCCCAAGTCAGACGAACCATTGAGTGATCCTCGCCTGAGTATATTGCCAAATTAATTGAACTAGTCTGGGTAACTGGTACAGCTTTGTATATAATGGGTTTTTCAATACAGACGCCACAAAAGTAGACTGATAGGGACAGCAAATAATGCCATATTTTTTCCCGATCATTTAACATTTCTCTTCGGTAAGGTTTGCCAATTCATCATGGAAAGATATACAATATAACAACGAGCCGAAACTATTAAAATCTGCCACCGAAATTTGGATTCAGTGGCCTCTACTTTAAGAGCGCCCCAGCCAATTTATGGTGATCATAATCGTCCTGTCACATCAACAATTGAACGTTTAGTGAAAAATTTTGAATCCACAGACACATTACAAAATGTTCCCGTGCCAATGAGACAAAGAAGTGCCGCTTGCGCATCAATTGAGGAAGACCCAAGTCTGTCTCTCACACCTTTTTCTCAACCGTTGGGCAGCTCTATAACGTCATTGTGGCGAATTTTACAAAAACATCTTGGCCTGCATCCTAACAAGATCAAATTGACCTAAACACTAAGGCGCTAGACCACCAGAATCGTCGTATGTTCGTAAATTGGGATGAGCAACAACATTTTTGATTGATTTTTGATTGAATGGCTTCATCAATAAGCAAAATATGCATTATTAGTCAGACAGCAATCCACACGTATTCCGTGAGCAACCATTGCCTACTGAAAGAATGGCGGTTTGGTGCGGTTTATGGGCCGGCGGCGTCATTAGGCCGTACTTCTTCCGTGATGATCAAGACCAGCGTGTTACTATGAATGGGAATCGCTACCTTTCGACGATAATCGAATATTTTTGGCCCGAATTGGATGATATGGACTTGGAGCAAATGCGGTTCCAACAGTCACACAGCAAATTTCAAAATCGATTTATTGAAAACCAAGTTTGGTGAACTTGTTATCTCACGAAATGGGCAGTGAATGGGACGCCTCGGTCGTGCGATTTGACAACGGTAGACTATTTCCTGTGTGGTTATGTCAAGTCTATGTATATGCCTACAAGCCAGCGACGATTGATGAACTTTGCACGAATATATATTTATGCTTCACAACCATCGACAATTGGGTTCAGTGACTGGACTTCTGGCATCGAATGTACTTTCACAAGAAAAAATAAATTCTTTGATCTCTTAAAACTTATTAAAAAAAGTTATATGGTAACCCCACACAAAAATATTTCTAACAAAAACAACAAAAAAGCGGTCATTGACCACCATAAGAGCTAAGAAAGCATTTCTTATGAAATTTACCTCCGCTTAGGTTATAGGTGAGCAATTGAAGTCTGTAATTGTCGCCTCATTGGAAACGCACTCGCTACTAACACTGTAAGAATATGTGAGTGTAATAAACTTAATATGAGTTGAGGTTTGTTTATTTTATCATTTATGAATAAATTAAAAATACTACAACTTTGGCGAGGTGCTTTATTAATAACCATAATTAGTCTAGAAGGTCTATACAAAAATGAAAATCACTTAACATGGCTCATCGCGTTGTTTGAGAATTCACAAATCACACAGAGCTACACACAAATCTGTGTACAAACACACAGACATACAGAGGTGACAAAAGGTATGGCAAACATAAAAATCTCTAAGCAAAGGAGATGAAAGAGATGTGGTAAGAATAGTGCTAGCTATGCAAATATCCATTGATTTCGCTCAACTCTGCGGCTTACGGTCATTCATTCGCACTAAAACCGCTCAACATACACACACACACATACAGCTGTCTCTTATACACATCTAGATGTGTATAAGAGACAGGTGCTAGCTATGCAAATATCCATTGATTTCGCTCAACTCTGCGGCTTACGGTCATTCATTCGCACTAAAACCGCTCAACATACACACACACACATACAGCCATAAACACCTGCTAAGATATTTCTCACTTTTTGTTATACAACTTTGCTCTATCATTGTGTTTTGGCTGCGGTTTAAGTTGCTAATTTTCCAAAACCTCGATATTAGTACGAATTTGTTTGGCAAATTGTGAAGGCAGCCGCAACAGTGAAATAGTGGAAATCGTGGCGGAAGTAGAATTCTTCGATAGAATAATTTACGTTCTTTAATTTGAAATATAATTATGTTAAAACTTGCAATATTGCTTCTATTATTCGGCACCACAGCGCTCCTGTGGCAACATGCTGAAGCGAAGCCATTTCTTTTCTTGCCCCCGAATTTCTTCGTTTTGACGACGAGAGGTATGTATGGCTGTAAATATATATTTATAAGCATTTGAAGGCGAAAGTTTTAACAGGAATGAATGAAAGTGGTATTCACAAACCGGTGGTAAATTTTTGAAAGTGACAAGTAGTGAAGAAATATTGTTAACAAATTAAAACAAATTAATAATTATATGGTTTATATGGGTAGTCGAAAAAGTCTTTTCGTATTTTGTCAATAGATTTTAAGTTTCATCTTATCAAAAAAAAATAATAATTAAATTCCGGTAAGTTAAAAAAAAGTTACAGCTGTTCAAAAATGAGTGAAAATAATGAAGAAATGCTGTATATTTTGAAATTTTTGTATTAAAAAGGGAAGAATGCCACGCAATACACCAATGAAATGTATGAATTTTACGGAGACGATTTCCGTTCTGCAAATTTAGATGTGAAAGATGCACCGCGCTCTGGTCGACCTATCATTGAAAAAGTTGATGAAATTACGGAAAAGATTGACCGTCACATAAGCAGCAATGTTATTGCTAAGGAACTTAAAATTCATTATTAAACGATTTTGAACCTTTAAAAAAATCCTGGCTGCTAAAGGAAGTTCAATGTTTGGGCACCATATGGATTGTCTGTGAAAAATTTAATGGACCGAATTAACATCCGCGATTCTTTGCTGAAATGAAATGAAATCGAACCATTTCTGAAGCGAATGGTAACAGGAGACGAAAAGCGGAACAAATCATGGTCCTAGCGTGATGAAGCCCAACAAATAGTCGCAAAGACAGGATTGAAACCTCGAAAGGTTATGCTAAGTGTTTGGTGGGATTGGAAAGGAATTGATCACTATGAGCTGCTCCAGCTTGGTCGAACGATTGATTCCATGTTTTACTGTGAACAACTGATGAGATTGAAGTACGAAGATTGAGAACGGCCAGAACTGTTCAACAGAAAGTGCTTCGTCTTCCAACGTTGTTGAGAATACAACGATAAGCCTTTTCAAGGCTTTGGTGATTTGATACCCAAGCTTTTCAGCAGTCGCTTTTAGATGTAATTTATTTTTTTGATCCCTCTATTTAATTAGTAGTAGTTACGTAGTTTAGACACTGGGCTAAGTTAGTCGAGTTATGTGCACATGTCACTAATTATCATTAATCTTCGAATCAGTCGATTGAGTTACGCATAAAATCTCTTGATAATATACAAATTTGGAGGCCAACATCGTGACCTTCTTATAAGATTACCACATTCATGCAGATTTTTCTATGTTGTGTTTTTTACTGACGCTTGCAACTTTGTAAAGCTGATTGCAAAGGAAGGCAGTATGGGGAAAAAAGTATGAGCTTGATTTGCGCTAGATGCATTTGGGCAGTCGTAAGTTCTTTGTACCACGAAGTAAGTCGATCGGATGAGTTTTCGATCTCATCGAGCCTCACTTTTTTGTAGTTGAAGGGATTTTTCTGGTCGGTTCTATCGGTGTCTACTTGGTAAACTTAAATATCTTATGGAATACCACTTGAGGAAGCTATTTGGAGGAAGACGGTAGAATAATTTTGAAACTTCCTTCTTGACATGCCAAAAATAGGAAAAAAGTATATAAGACGATTTTTGATGGGTTCAAGATACCTAAGCATGGATTTTTTTAAAAACTTTTTAATAACAAATATACACTCGAACCTGTTAGACAAACTAACGGCTGCCCTTTTATTGAATATGTGTGTAGGGACGCTATGATCTCTTTAGAAAAATTCTGAGTAGTTCTATAAATAGTCAAGTTCTCAGATATATGAATTAATGAATTTAAAACTCTTAAACAGACTTATTCTTTTCTTCCAGCACCATCCACTGACAGTACTTCATCTTTAAGCTCAACAGCATACTCCTCTTCATCAACATCTTCGGCATTCGGTGGTATTTTCCAATTGCCGATGAATATTATAAGCCACAAGTTGAATTTTATAAATAGTTTGCTATCGAGTTTTAACGGTGGCGCTGGTGCGGGTGGCAATATTGGTGGCGGTGGTAAACTGGCTGCGAGTGGAAAGTTTGGCGGCAGTTTTGGAGTTGGTTTTAAATTCAACGCAGGTACTACAACGCTTAGACCAAGAACAACCACCGAAGAAGCAAATATAGTTTTTTCGCCACAGTCTACAACAAATAGTCCAAAAGCTACAACTGGCAAAACCATTGATAATAGCCGCGACTCAACAAGCACAACAACTACAGAAAACTCATTAGCTAGTTCAACAACAGAAAACTTGTTCGTTAGTTCAACAATAGAAGCTTTGAGTAGCTCCACAACAAAACCAAATGCAGAAGATTTAAACAGTTCAATGACAGAAAATAGCACCTCCTCATCAAAATCGATTGTAGATATTACGGCGGGTGTTACCAGCAATGGGCCTACATTAGTTGCAGAACAACCTGTGTTCACCGAAACAACAGAAAAGATTACAAGTAATTTCGTCAAAAGCACAGAGTCGCTTGTGAGCAGCACTGTTAAATCGACGATAACATCAACAACAGAAAAATATTCTACCGACATTGACTCCACCTCAGAGACAGTTTTCAGCTCCACAATCGGTACTGTCATCGAAGATAAGCCAACAGTAGTTGCACAAACCCCAGCGATTGTCACGGCAACCGAAAAAGTTGCCGAACCTGTCACCTTTACCACTGAGCGCATTGAAAATAACGGAAGCACTGACGCTTATGTTGACCCCACAGATAAGCCGGAAGCGGAAGTAACAGCGGCATCCGTATATAGTGGGGATAAAGACAACGAAACCGGTGGTTATAACTATGAAAAGCATGAAGTGAGCAATGGCGTGAGTGCGAATGGTTATGGCTATCAGCAGCCACGTCCGGACTTGGATAATGAAATTTTCCCCAGTAAACCAAGTAACATGTATTTACCCGTTCTATAAGTAAGTTGATACAGGAAGTGGTAATAAGTTAGTACCGACTGTAGACCTATAATATAATGCAGTCACGTCTCGGGATCATTCCTGTTTGTCGTAGTATTAAGTGTTAAACGACCGCAAAAATTTATGTATATATACATTAATAATATTTTAAAGCTCTTATGCAAGTTTTGCCAATACAAATGAAAAATAAGAATGAAACTAAAAGAATTCGTTTGTTTTTTATTTCATAAGACGTCACTGTGACCTCGAGCACTTGAAAGATTCAACAGGCTTTTATAGATAGTAAAGAATAGTCAATTCATGAATTAATATTCAGCTTAAGCGCATCATATAGTAATTTATTTAGCTTTTGGTGAAACTTGAGTTTTCCTATTTATTAACTAATTTCGTTTATGTGTTCTATTTTAAATTATTATTAGCAAATTTCAGGTTCCAGGCGGTTTCAGGTGGTTTCAGCTTTTTGTGTTATTTTTATTGTTTTATTTAATGCTCTTTCTTATACTATATTATTTTTGTAGAGCGTGCACAGCTTAACAAGTAAAAAGTTCACTTTGTCAAAGGGGTATTATTGGTCCGTTGTTATTTATTTTTGGCATCACGATATGTTATTACAATAATGTTAAGTCTCTAAGGCTCTCATATTTTGTATTCGTCATGAATGTAATTATTTAAAAGAAACCGGACCGATAAGTTAATTTCATTATTAAAAACAAAAAAATCGCCGAAATCGGTGGGTTTTCGGAGGGTCAGACGGAGATGTTTCCTTAAGGGGGGAGCTTGACTTAGAAGCTTCAAAAAATCCTTTTTTTTTTGCTTAAATATCTTTAAAAATAATCTAAGAATATGTCCCCACAGTTTTAGATGTGAATTTGAAACATTTTCGAGGCTAGAAGGAAAATAGTGACCGAGCGTATGTGACCGATTGGGAAGAAAGCGAAAACTTTGACGCGCGATTTCTCGGTTTTTCATTTTTACGTTTTTTCTAAATTGGCGGGCAAAATAGAAAAAACACTAAACGTTGAATTGAATTAAGGCAAAATTTATTATCTATGGCATTATTGGCATTTAATTATCTTCTATTTAAACCAAAAAAAACTAAGAAAAGTCAGGTGTATGTGTTATAAACAATACAAAGTAAAATTTTTTTGGTCAAAAACCACCTTTTTTCAATTTTTAAAAAATTTCTAAAATTTCATTTCTTTTAGAATTTTTTTATTTTATCTAGAAGATAAATTATTAAAAAATATGAATCTCTTTAAATATTTTGTTTTCGATAGAAATTGCGACCTGCATCTTGCCCGCCGTCCGCCAAATGCACATGCGAGATGCATCGGGCAATTGTTTCCCAAATTCAGAATATATAATATAAGATTTCGTATCCAAAAAATTTGTGAATGATGTTTAAATATACGAGTATACCAATAAACTCTAGAAATTTCGCTTTAATAAATTATTTCTTTCCCTAAAAAAAATTCTCAAAAAAATCGATTTTTTATAATTATATCACGCTGGCACTCTAACTGTTGTTTTTGAAATAGTGAAGACAATGCAATGCTAGTAGGAAAGAATGGAATACACAACAGCCTAAAAGTATGCAGATATTTATTTCTACACACATTATTCCTGTAGAATGTGGATGATAATTAAATTGCTAACAAAAGCTTTTGAAAGCTTCACATTAAATCAACATAAACCAACAACAATAGACTTTTGTGCAATAGGCAACAACAAAGTACCGGAGCCTGCCGCAATGGATTTCAACCGACGCTCCTTTTACTTGCTTTTGCTGTCATTTGTAAGTAATATATAATACAATAATTCTCTTAAAAAACTTACCTTGCCGTGAGTTATGAATAAATTGGTCTCTGAAAAGATTAACAAACCCATTTATGGAGTTAACCTCTCGCGCATAATTTTTATCGCGCCGACACGAACGCGCTTTATTGTATTCCCAAAAAATCGAGTGAAAAATGCCACAACTACTTCAGTTTCACTTAATTACAACACTAACACTAGCACTAACACTTAAATTTGCAGCAAATTTGAAACTTTTACTAATATACTTCAGGATTTTCACAATATTCACGGATTTTAACAGACGCGCTGCGGAAATAGTTTCGGAACTGCTTGGAACTGAAAAATGGCGCCGGAAAGTTTCCAATACGCAGAGCTGTATTTATTGTCATATTGTTTGACGTACATATTCTATTCACAATGAAGTGCTAAAACTATAATTTTTATAAATATTAAATTGTAAAAATTTGAGTTTACAAATATTTTATATATTTATATATGTACAATAAATGAAGAACATTAATACCAAATAGGCGAAAGTGGGGTTTAACACGGACATTTTCGAAAATAGTTACATATTTAGGTAGTGATTTATTGCTGTAGGTACCAGTGTTGCCAACAATTTTATTGTGTTACTTAATAACAGATCTTAAGACAAGTATCTACAAACAAGTTTATAATGGTAAAGCCCTTAAAGCATTTAAGAGTCCAGAAAAACACACTGGAGGCAGAAAATATCTACTATGACGTACGTGACGTATGTACTTCCTTTGACCCACTAATTAATAAAGAGTGGGTAATAATGTTACTATAACATATTGCTAGTCTTACCTAGCAAGCATGTTAAAGTTTAAATTACTAACTAGTTAGTAACCGAAAAGCTATCGGTTAAGTAACCGTTTAATTAACCAACAGCGCTACCAGAAATTTTGAATTCTAACCGAAACTTTTGTATACGTGTAATCCTTCCTACGCCAAGTTTTTGTGAGCATGTGTAAATTTCCGTGGTAATTCGTTCAACGTATTTTAGTTTCGGTACTTCCTGGGTAATACGAACCTAGTCGAATTTTCAATATACATATAATATACATTATCCTAATAAATACTATGCTTTGGTGCCACCTAGCGGAGACTGTTTTAGGATTGTCCCGCTTTCACTGCACGGTCAGACACATATTACAAAAACTGTTATTTTGATCCTGGTGTCGCTTGGTAAGGTAATTTTTCAAAATAAGACCATAGATCATTTTATTTAAAAATATAAATAAATTTAAACGAAACTTGATACATTTTGAGAGGAATTAAACTCTAGCGCCACCTATTTTTTATATTTCAGCTCTCACTGAAGTCTGCAAAATAACGCACTCCTTATGGTGAATGATAAAATTTCCAGTTTCCCATGGGAAGTGCAATACTGTGCTTTGCTATGATCCGCCGCCATTAAGTCAGTTCCGTAGAAAATTCCGTGCGCGTAGGTTGAAATTTCATTACTGCCGGGGAATAGTGAAAAATATAAAAGTTTTTGTTTCAAAATCGAAAGTAAAGTAAACGCGAGAATGTAGTTAAGTGAAATAAGTGGTAGGGCAGAATTTTCTTATAGATTTATTAGAAAAGTGTTCAATTATAGATTTTAGGAAGATTTAGGTTAGGAAAGTGTGTAAGTTTAGCCAGTGGTCGCTGTGCCTTTGAAAAAAGAAAAGGCTATAAAGTTCTTTGTGGAAAATAAAGAAAAAGCAAACGACAACATTGGATGTGTACCGATTTCTAATATAATATAAGGTAAGTGTTTCCTCTTGAATTTTTATATGAGACTCCTTTCAGGTGTCTATCCATAAATCTGTAAGCTGCGTACGCAACGCTGCTGCTCCTTATTGTTTTCCTTTGGTGAGCTTTTTCGCTGTTAGCGAATTGAAAAAGAGCTTTTGTAGATCTTATTATACTTTCCACATTTTACAATCCACATCATTCTTGGAGTGGTGATTGAGAATGATTTATTTTGACAGTTTGAGAGCCAATACAATGAATAGTATTTATTAGTGCTGTTATTCCTTAGTATCCAAATAAAATATGATACCAATTGTTTTTTAAGGGTACATTCTAGTATAAAAAGCCTGAATTTCGAGCAGTCTGTGATAATTGATGCAAAGGTAAATGATTTGTTTACTATCAATGTAGATATAATAATTTTTATTTTTATTTCTACAGCACACGAGAAAAAATCGTAAGTGGTCGCTACTCAAAAATGAAAGGTAAGTTGTTTCACGACGTTTCTAAAAATATTAATCAGTTTTTGTTCATTGATATGTCAGAGAGATATTTAAAGCATATTCATTTTAATGTTCAAGTATATCGGAAGAGTAGATTAGAACTAGAGATACCTAGAGAAAAACCTATTACAGGGGTTAGGCGGGTTTCAGCGGTTCAAAAAGGGTATTATTTAAAAATTCAGCATATCAAAGTTATATATTTAAACAATGTTTTGTGAAATCGTATTTTAAAGTTCCGAAAACTCAGTCGTTGTAAACTCATGTGCCATGGCATTCAATATTGTGTTGGACAACATTACTCAATATCGGTTCATTTTATATCAGAAATATTTAGGTATTAGATGAATAAATTTCGTTATTGAATAAAGAAGAATTTTTGAAAGACTTTCAACCAAAAAAAAAAAAATTTTTTGTAAATTTTTCAATATTAGTTAGATCGAAAAATTTCGTTGCAATCAAAAGACAAACGTCCTTCGTTTAATAACTAAAATTTTCGACATGTATAGAATCGAAAAATTTCGTTTTTTTTCTTTACAAAAACAAATAACCTTTGTTCAATAACTAGTTTAGTTATTTCAAAGATGGGTACATATTTTTTTCGAAGCCGCTTAAAAACATTTCGAGAAACCGTGGACTGATGGCCGGACTATCGAAGGCTTCATCCCTTAGAAATTTACAAAAATATTTTAAACATATTGTTCGATTTAATAACTTTCAAACACGCCTAACCTCTTAAAGTTTTAAGCTCACATAGACTAAACCGACCGCGTTGCCATAACTAAAACCGCCATAGCTCTAAAAATAATTTGAAGTTTCAAAAATCCGTTTAGGAGTTATATTTGTATATATAAGTTAAAATATATTTTCGAATTTTTAAATTTCTAGACTAGAATACACCTTTAAATAATATGTATTTTCAAATTGCCTACAGCTACTGAGCTTTAGCTTCGTAAATAAAAGTTTTTTTTGTTAAAAGCAAAAATAATTCCTACAAATATTTAGGAGTATGATGTTGCCATATGTATAAATAGATATATTTATTAAACTATTATTGAAAATTTGATTTTTCAAAACTTTCTGCGATCAATCAGCAGATAATGAGAAAATAAAACCAATTTTTTTTATATAAATTGCATGCTATGGGCAGGAAAAATATGTTGGCTTTTTAATTTTATCAAATATTTAATATGTTATAAAAATAACGGGAATTGTTGGTTGTTATTGCCGCCTTGAAAATAGTCTCCACTTTTCGAAACACTTCTCAAATTGGATTTTTGCAGCCATTTTCATCTATCTTGTAAACCGATGGTACTTTACGGTTCGCTCTCTATTTTTGGAAATAGCAAAAAGTCACACGTTGTCATTTATGGCGAATATGCAGGCTGTGTTATTGTTCCGTTGCTGTTTTTAGCCAATAAAACACGAACATATTAATTAATTTCTTCTAATAAACAGACAAAATTCAAATTTTATCACAGTTCAGGACAACAAAAAAAATTTTTTTATTTTAATTGCCTTTATTTTCTGAACACACTTCATAGCTTGGCTATAGCTTTTCCGAACATTACATTGTTCAGCGTTCTTCTTTCTGTGACTGCAATCGGAACCTGATACATTTCTAGATTTCAACTTTGAGAACAGCCATACCACAAGGGGACAGAAAGCCTGAAGGGCGAATAATGAACTTGGATTTTCATTGAAGAGCATTTCTTTTGCGTTCTCTACTCCATAACCTTCAAGCGATTTTTTGGTGTTATTTTACACTAACGTTTTATATGCAATGTTTGGAGACTCCAAAAATGTGCATATCTTACATATATTATTATTATTATTTTGTACAATATTATAAGTCACATCAGCTTAATGGAACAGCATGGCCTAAACAACACAGTCTAGCTTTATAAATATGTTTTCCTTGTGCATAGTTTCACAGACGTTAACGCGACGCTGTTTTCGAAAAAAAATTTAGTGATTTTGGAAGCATTCGTACTTTCACTTTTCTTAGGCCCAAATGTTCTATTAAAATGGTTTTCACTCATCGTCGTAAATCGTCGATTCTCCAGCACCAATTCCTTAATATTAATGACGTGTTGATCATCAGTTGTTTTGATGGCCATCCTGAACGAGGTGCGTTGCCAACGCGTTCTCGAACCCCTTTTGAATAATTGGTACCACTCAAACACACTTACGCGAAACAAATATTTATCATCGAATCCTGTTTCAACTTTCTGAATGTTTCGCTACGAGAAATTTGTTTCCGAACACAAAGTTTTACGAAACTTCTTTTTTGAATAATTTCACTCATCGTAAAAATCGCCTAATGTACTTTATGTACTTCAGAAAGACAGGCGTATATGACACTAAAGATTATTTGGTTGTAACATTTGGCACTGATATCACTCACAGTCATACTAATCTAGAAAAAAAAATTCGGCGAATGGGTTTTCGCACGAAATTTAGATTAAAAAGTCTTACTATTTTATGCTCACGGTAGTATCTATCATATTTTTCATTCTTAGGCTTTACTCTGCAAGCATTTAAGCTGATGAACCATTAAATGCAGCAATTAAAGTGTTTCCCAGCACAAAACTAATTATATAAGTACTCGTGCAACTAATTTAACCCAAGTTGTTTTCCAAGATTAAGGTCAAATGCATTCATCCCATACTATGTATATATAGCCAAGCCTACATAAATACATAAATACACACATATATATTTGTATATATTATTGTATATACACATATTTACATGTGTGTTTATATTAAGCATAGCATCCCTCCAATCTTGTCTTAATTACTTAAGTTTTTTAAGCAAATTAGCATCAAAACTTCCGGCTAACAGTTTAGGCATACCGAAAATCACATAAGCATTGGTGTGTATTACGTAACTGTTATTTTATTTTTATTAAACAATTAGCAGCTATTTCGATTTATGTTTGAAGTACGAGAATCAAAACTCACAAATTGCCATTAAAGTGGAATATTTTTTTTTTTCTATTTTCTCGTCATTGGATTATGCCAGTTTAAAATCGCTGTGAAACATCTACCAATATGTTAGCCCTATACTAAACATTACGCTTATGATTATTTCGGCTTTTTTTAAAACCTACGCCACGCTAGAATTAGTTTAAATGGACATTAGTCATTAATAGAATTGTATGGACGAGTTGCATGAGGTGAGGTTTCAATGACTCAAATGTTTGTGTTCGTTATAAGGTAGATTCCCACAAACATTACTGCAATGATTCTGCAGACGTGATTCTATTGGAATCACAAAGTTTCAGGGAAGTCGAACACACTAATTGACATAGGGAGTTCAAACCTCACGCGAACATAAAATCGGCTATATTTTGAGCTGAAGGAACAAAAACGAATTTGTTCCATCGAAAATAGTGTCTTTCAAAATAGTCTCCATTACGATCTCTTTGAGTGATCGACAAATTCTCTRAAAAAAAAAAAACGTTCTACAAACAAATGTTCGTGTAATATTAAATGTTTAGTGTACCCACTAAGGCCTATGGTTGTCTGAATCTCACGATAAGTTACATGACGATTTTGCAATATTAGTTTTTCGCACAGCATCAATAGCTTCCGGCACAACAACTGATTTTGGATGACCTTCACGAAATTCGTTTTCTGGAGTGATCTACGACCTCGATTGAAAATACCATATGATCGATAAACATTGGGTTTTAGATGAAGATTCATCGACAAAAGGCGAATTAAGTTCAGCAATACACTGTTGCTGAATTAATCTACGGCGAAAGTAGGCCAAGATGAATATTTTGAGTTACTGTAAACACAAACATTAAACAAGAGGTAGATGGACGACTTGGAAGAGGCAAGATTTTGATGGCTTCACGACTTTTACTGTTTGCTTTGATTACTTGTGTTGATGCTAATGTAGACTCTTCTGCAATATTTTCAACATTGGATTCAAGCTGTGATTCAATTATTATCTCGTGCCATGCAATTCATCGGCATTATCAAACAGAAAGGGCATAGTGCGAACTAACCCACAGTTAACTAGATGTTAGATGAGCGGGTTTGAGGTGTTAACTGAAGTGGCAATGAAGTTTTAGGAGGTTTTATGAATAAGGTTAGGGTTTCACGACATCAACTTATACCAAACACGTATTAACTGTCTACATTGTGTATGACATATATTAGATGTAGTTAGATGACTTTGTGGCTTTTATGAGTTTATTTATAGTACTATGTACTTGTATATTGTATATCTTCCATTTATGTATATAATATGGTCGCATGTCCGAAGTCGGCAGATTCTGCTTCTCTAGAGGCTGTTCCGCTTCCAGCAAACCTTTATACTGGTAGTTTCGCCGAGAATTTGTGATTTGTGAATTTGGTTCCAGCTTTTTATTTTGTTCGAAAATCCCGTCGACTGTGAGTGTCTTGCAGCAGCTCCAGCGGTGAGCAGACTTTCCAATATAGCATCCAGTACTTCCTGGTTGTTGACTACCAGAATTTTCGCGTCATCGATGAAGATATGTATTCATCCAGTCAGTGTTTCTCCGTGCAGTTTATAAACAGGGGGAGAGTCGATTTAGTGGGAAAGTATTGGTGGAGCGGTAGAGATGAAGCAAGAAAGTTTGGAGAAATAGTTTTTAGTTGATTTTAAGTCTGAGCAAGACTGACTTCGATGAAAGAGTGACTTCGACTACAATAGATCCATACAGATAATGATCGAGTACCAGTCAAAATTTAGATGTTTGACAAAATGGCGACTTCCAAAAATAAAGTAATTTTTTTTGTGAAAAATTTACGCTTCAGACTGGCTTGGAAAAGGGAAATTATCTTATGCTTTCGATTCTTTACATGTATCTAAGAAGCTCGTGTAAAATTTCAAGTCAATCGGTTCCCTTACGAGAAATTTTTCGCAACGACTCCGTAAACACCATTTTTTGGACTGTTTCGAATTTTTTAATTGTGTAAAAATTCAAATTTGGAGATATGGATAGTTCCAGATATAGACAAGTCTGTGGAGGACTGTAAAAACTTCATGTAGTCGACCTGAAAAGTCGTGGGTATTATTTAAAGTTTCAATTCCGACTGAATTAGTTCGCTTGCTGAGTTTGTAAAATACCTATATTTTCGAAAATATTTTGAATTAAAAAAAAAACGCTTGTAGACAAATATTTGAACAGTTAAACTTTGAATTAAGAAAAAATCTATTTTTTAGACTAGAAAACCACCATATTTCTCAGATTCCTTATTACAGGATACGTTACCAACGTTGTTATTGTTGTTGTGGTTCCAGCGGCAGAATTGTGTCGAGTTGACAGTCCTTGGCCGGTTAAAAATCCGGGTCCATTACCTAAACCCGACTGTCGTGGGAACCAATATAAATTTAACGTCTATGACGAAGCTACTTTTCCTTTTCATTCACGTTTCATAAATAATAACTTCATTATTGTAATTATTCAGCATCGCTTGAGCACATATTTATTATTAAAAAAATATTTCATTTGAATTATCAGAATATTGTTGTTTCGATTATTACAAAAGACATAACTTTGTATGCATAAACAGAATTTTAATGCATTTAAATAGTTTTGTTTACAGAAACAGAATTAAGTATTTTAATGCTTCAAATAATTATTTTATCAAGCCCAACATGCGATGCTTGCATACACACACATACATATTGACGGAATTGCAATTAAAGGACAAAGTAGTCGACGCAACAATATTTGATTAGCCATTGGTTGACACTGCATTAAATTCAATTGTATAATAATAATGTATTCATATATATGTATGTATGTATAGTATATAAGTTAAAAAATCAGCCTTTAACTGCGTAACATTCATTAAGTTTCTCAAGGACAAGACAAGTATAAATGGGCAGCTAAATATTTAAACAGTGTAATACTATAAAATCATGTGGCAACACGGTTCGAATCAAATACAGCATAGTAAGTGTAATTATATGATAATTATGTAATTAAGGAGAACATTTCGTTTTTAGAATTTTTTTTTTTAATTCATACACATAACATTTTTTGTTTTTGTAATTAAAGTAACTGCAAAAGAACATTAAAAAAATAATAATGATAAAAAAACGTATACAAAAAAATTAATAATAATAAAATAAGCCAACGCGAAATGCATTTCTATGCTTACAAAATGCGCATGAAGATGCCGCAGCTAGTAAATTCGCCATGAAATCAATTTGAAAAAAGCCGAAATTTCGATATAAATATACAAATATTAGAGTGGTTAGCCGAAACGAACGCACTGTGCGAGTGTAAAACGAAATTAATATGAGTTTTGAATGTGTCATTGGAAAACAAACTTCAGAGGTCGTCTTTAACAACAGTTGTTAGTGCGTGTTGTTGGCGTGGAATGGTGCCAGGAGGTTGGCGAGCGTTTGACGCGCAAAGAACCGCTTCGCTGTTGTTGGCAGTGGACGCTGTTGATTGATGCTTGTTGTTGTTGCTGTTGTATGCTGTTGTGATTGTGTTGGAAATGCTGATCTTCCCGTTAACTTGGCTGTGAGCGGTGTGCTGGTTACACTTTTCGATAGGGACTGACGTTGTGCGAACGGCGTTAGTGGAAATTCCTTGCGGGTCGGTGTACGCGTTGACGTAAACGAGTGCGACTTCTTTACAATGGATAGCGATGGAAAACTGTAAAGTGCATAGAGTACGCTATTGTTATATGTATATGTAAATAGTTTGTGAGGTTATATAGCACATAGAACACACACAAATACATACCACAGCACAAAGACGACAACACAAGTAAAACCAAAAATTTCAAACATTTAACCAACTCTCATCTTGCATGTTTTTTTGTTTTGTTTTTGTACAAAACTGGGATTAACAAACTTCTTTCACACATACATACATCTGCTCTCATTTCCTGGTATATTAACGCCAATTTATATATTATCTTATACCGTTATAATATATATTTTTCATATACGAATATCACTTACGCATCCATTTCCTCTTTCGGAAAGCGTAGCATAGCCGTTTTCCACGAGTGAATATTGGCATATTTTGTGGTATCGATATCGATATGCATGATGGCATTCAGTACGTCAACATCACGTTTCGTCGGTTCATTTCTAAAACAAAAAAAAAAAATTTTTTTTGTAAAACGTTAGTGAAATTATTACATTCGGTGATAAATCGAAACTTTTTTTGATATAAAATGGTGCAACAATTTATAATAATGATTATAGTAATATTTCCATATAATAAAGTTCATAGCAAACAATGAGACAGTACATTCCCACGACAGTCGGCTCTACGTAACCGGAACGGTCCCAGTGGTTTATCCAGCCAAGGACTGTCAACTCGGCATAATTCTGCCGCCACAACAATAACAAGACAGTTAGGTAAATACTAGAAGAAGTAAACAACAAGGAAAAGAAAGTTTGGTTATAACCGAACAGTTTGCAAGGTTTAAAGCCAGGGAAGTGCTTTCAGTTACATAATCCTTGTTAGTTATATGGGGTCTAGTGTGAGTTTTCACCCGACTTTATTTCTCTTAAGCCCAAAGATGCACCGTTATAAGAAATACACGCTCTTTCAATGTTTTTAGGTTATTCACATATTGGCCGATATATCGGGTGATTTTTTAAGAGCTTGATAACTTTTTT